GGGACTTTGGGCACGCATGAGAACGCACCTAGATTTAAACTGGAGTATGTGGGATCTGGTTCCTTTTTTTTCTGGGGGTGGGGTGGTTTGCTACAGGGTGTGGGCGCTCACCAGGAAGACAGAGACAGAGAGAAAAAAAGTGAAAAATCACCCCCCCCAGGGGAATGGCCACGCCGCAATCCCTTCTCCTTCATTCTTTCAGGATCTTGGGCACGCACGCACACGTGCCCAGTGTGAGTTTAAGCCACTGGGTCCGGGACTTGAACTGCAGTCCACTACATGGGAGTCCAGTGACATAGCCATTACAATAACTGCTGGTCCCGAGATCTGGTTCCTTTAACCACTAGGTGAGGGGGCTGCCCCATCAGGATTTGGGGCACATGCGCACATGGAATTATGGTTGGTCAATTGAGTTCCTACGTCCTTAACCACTGGGCTACAGGGTTAGCCTAAATTAGACTTTTTTTTTTTTTTATTTTTAAAGTTTATTAAAGGGCATGTACACTCACTGGAGAGAGAGAATGGGTAGGTGAGAAAGCTCCCTTCAAAATGTTAATGCCGCAGTCCCTCCTCCATTCTCCTCTCAGGATTTTGGGCATGCACGCATTCATGCCTGGTGATTTAAGCTGCCAGGCCCAGGACTTGAACCTCACAGTCGGCCATGTGAGATTTAGCCACCTAGGTGATGGTTAATTGTCAGAGAAGAGAGAGGGAGGAAACGCCTCCAGATGGGGCATGGTCATGTTGTCATCCCTTTTCCTGTCAATCTTGTCAGGATGTGGAGCACACATACATGCCTGGAATGTTTCTCAGTTTCCTTGGGCAGGGACTAGAACAGTTGCCCATGTGGAATCTAGTTCCGTTTATCACCAGGCTGAGAAGCCAGCCCCTGAATTAGCTTATTATTACTATTTTCTTTTTCTTTTTTGTTTGGAGAGGTTTTTGCTATCGGGCCTGTGCGCTCCCCAGACAGACAGAGAGAGACAGAAGGTGAGAAATCACCCCCCCGGGGGGATAGCCACACTGCAATCCCTTCTCCATTCTCCTCTCAGGATCTTGGGCATGCACGCACACGCACCCGGCGTGAGTTTTAAGCCACTGGGTCTGGGATGCGAACTGCGGTCGACTTCATGGGAGCCCAACGACATAGCCTAATATTGTGCTAACTGCTGGTCCAGGTTATTATTTTAAAAAAATTTTGCTGATGATGCTTGCATTTGGTGAAAAACAGACAGAGAAAGCAAGAAAGCACCCCTCCATGGGGAATGATCCCACTGCAATCCCTTTTCTTCTATTTCTCCTTTTCAGGATTTCAAGCATGCATGCACATGTAGCCATCATGTTTCTCAAGTCTCCAGGTGTGGGATTTGAGTTGCTCAGTCAACCTTGTGGGTTCCAGCCACCTTAGCCACCGTGCCACTGGCTTGGCCCTGAATTAGTGTTTTCATAATAACCGTTTCATAAACTGTTTCTGCCTTCAGAAAAGTATCTGAGGTACTTTGGATGCCACTAAGATAAGATAAATCAGCAAGGGTACTGCTTTCAAGGGTGATGAGACACAGGCCTCAATTCAACTCAAAGAAGAGGGTGTTATTACAAGGGCTGGGGTTAAATTTTATGGGCATTGGCATAATGGCTGTGTCGCTGGACTCCCATGTAGTCAACCGCGGTTCGAGTCCCGGACCCAGTGGCTTAAACTCATGCCGGGCACGTGTGTGTGTGTGCCCAAGATCCCGAGAGGAGAATGGAGGAGAAGGGATTGCGGCGTGGCCATCCCCCCTGGGGGGTGATTTCTTGCTTTCTGTCTCTAGCTGGTTAGTGCACGTGCCCTGTAGCAAAAAACCTCTTCAAAAAAAATTTTATTGGCATTGACAGGAAAGAGGGAGGGCATTTGTTTAGTGAAAATCAGGGAAGGTTTGGGGGAGGATGTGGCATCTGAGCGGTCTGAAAGATGAGTTAGGATTTAGACAGCTGAGGATGGGAAGATAAGTGTTCCCAGGTAACAGCATGAACCACGTGGGGTGGGTGGGGTGGTCAGCCTGCCTGGGAGAGGGCATGGCTGTGACTCATACAAATGGAGTCTGATCTTGCGGGCTGAGAGCAGCTCCCAGGAGGCCAGGTCTGCGAGGACCCATATGGAGGGAGGTCTACATTGCCACTGTGGGGCGCTCTGGTCTGTTTTATGCAGGGACTGTTTTGCTGGAGGCCCAGACTCTGGGGAGAGCGGCAGGATCGTCCTGCTGTGGTGAGGATGGTTAGGATAGGTCCCAGATGGATGTCCACAGGTGACTGTACTCGTTGGGCTCCTGGATAGATGGTGATGCCGCTCCTCAAAACAGGAACCACAGGACAAAGAGAGGGTTGCCGAGGTCCCGGCCTGTTGATGAGGGCAGGGAGACCCTCATTTGGGTATCAGAGCAGCGGTTCCAGTGCTGGCCCTGTAGTTGCAATGTGGGGGCCCTTTTGGATCTATGCCTGAGAGGAGGGCCTGCCTGCTCTGCCCCTCACAGGCGCTCTGCCTCTAGCTGAAACCTTGGAGTCCTGTTTTCCCAGGGCGTTTGTCAGGGGCAGCTAGGAAGACGGAAGGTTGGGGGCCATGCGCATTGCCCAGCCCAGTGGGTTCTGCCGTGTGAGTGGGCTGAGGGTACCGCAGTAGGGAAGTAGACTTTCTCAGGAGGGAAGGCTCTCAGCAGGGCCCTCTAGCTGAGCTCCTGCCACAGTGAGCCAGTTGTTTACCGTAGGGAGCGTATCATCTCCCTCGTGTGTGGAGGCCATCCTCCTGCACAGGGTGGTCTGGGTCAGGACGTCATTCTCAGTTCAGCTCAGGACCAGGCTGGAGGGAGCACATCTTAACATCCTGGTCATGGTTACCCAGCCTAGGTCAGGGGAGCTCATGCTCAGGCTGCACCCTGAGCAGGCCAGGCCAGCCCTCCTTGCCGCTTTCCCACCCTGCTGGACTATGGCTCAGCAAGCGAAGATGAGGTCAACAACTAACGCTGACTTGGACAGCTTCTAGGTCGGCACATCTGAGTTGGCCGCCACACCTAGGGGTGTCTGCCTATGGCTAGGCCTGGGTAACCCTGGTGGGAGGAGACTGGTAGGAGGGGTCAGAGGCCTCCGATTGGCCTTGACTCTGCCTGGTTTAGCTCTGCCCTCACTTAACCTCCAGGAGCTAGGAAGGACTAGGAGAAATGGATGTGACATGATTTACTATCACTGGGAGGGGAGGGCTGCCTCTTAACCACTGGTTGGCAGATGGCTTGCGTTCAAGGTCTCCCTGATTAGGGACTTGGGACCAGGGCCCTGTGGTGGAACAGTCAGTGCTGGTGTAACGGCCTTATGACCTACTGTTTCTCTAATTTTTTTTTTTTTATTTGGCAGAGCGTGCATGTACTCACCAGAGAGTGAAAGCACCCTCCGAGGTCTGAAAAGGCCCTGTGAGGCCTCCAGGTGTATGTGTGTGTGCGCGCATACCCTGTGTCGGTTGTAGAGTTGGGTTTCTTGGGTGTGTCCTGGGCCTGCTGAAGAGGTGACACTCAGGAGACTTGAGCTGGTCTCAGAGATGAGTAGTTTTCCAGGCAGTCTAAGACTTGGGGTAAGGACGTTCTAGAAGAGTGGAACATCAGGTGTGCCAGAGTGCTTCTAGAGATAATAAGACGGGCCCAGGTGATTGGGGTGCTGCTGTGCAGTGCTGCAGCCATGTGAGAGGGCTCGGGGTTCATTCCTGGGTGGTCTGAGTGCACCAGATGTGTACACGGGCACGCCCATGACCCTGGCTGGCTGGATTGCAGTGTGTCAAAAAAAACCTTATAAAAAGAAAAGATAATCGGAGGCACGAAGAGACGAGCTCAGGTCACGCAGGTAGGAGTACACTGGGATCTCAGCTCAGGTGTGACCCTCAGGTGTGCTTGAGAATTGACCAGAAGCTTGTTAAAAATGCACACCCAGGGGACCAGCAGGCAGCATGGTGGTTAAGACGCTGGACACTCCCATGTGGCCGACCACAGTTCAAGTCCCAGACCTAGTGGCTTGCTTTCTCACTTTCCCTCCCTCTCTGGTCAAATTAAAATAGATGAATGAATAAATAAAATAAATAAATCTTTTAAAAAAAAATACCCAGATTTTCCATTTCTGAAGGCCTGATGTCAGGCCTGAGGGTTAGCATGTCTACCAGGTTCTGGTGATGCTGATCCTCCGGGTTGGGCTACGAGTATAACTGGAGGTGGTGCCGTCTCTCCTCTGGTATTTTTGTAGCAGAAGTAGTGTTACTTCCCAGTCCCATCAGCCCCACCAGCTGACATGCACAGCCTGGGCAGTTCAGGTTGTTGGGAAGCTGGCACTTCACATATGGCTGTGATGCGGCCAGGCTCCTGGCGGACTCCCTTTGTGACAGATGAGGAAACTGAGGCCTTGAAAGCATCAAAGCCATTTGCTTGCCCCAGGTTGTAGAGCCAGGTAGTGACAGGTGGCAAAAGTATTGGAGTAGCCCTGGTGTGAAGGCCACTTGCTGGCTGGGGTGGGGCGGGGTGGAAATGGGAGAAGGGGCAGTGGGTGGAAGATGGTTTGAAGTGATCGTTTGCTGGCTGGGGAGAGGGAGGCCAGCCTCTTTCCTCAAGAAAGTGCCATGACCTCCTGCTGATATAACTCCTTGGGCTTTGCAGGGCTGGGGCTGTAGTCTGGGAGACTGGATAGGGACAGGAACTGAGATCAGTCAGAAGAGCAGGTTATAACACACTTGAGAGCTCAGGAAAGGCTCAGAGGGGTTGAGACCCGAGTTCTCCTTCTAACAGCTTCACTTTAAAGATTGAGCCAGGTACCTGGCAGGTATTCTCGATACAGCTCTGTGAGTAAGTGTATCACCCCCCTTCACAGATGAAGAAACTGAGGTCCAGAGTGAACAGCACTCCCCTGGGCACCCAGCCAGTCGAGACGGGCCAGACTCCAGTCGTTGGTTCACTGTCCCCTTCTCCGATGCCTCATCACCTTCTCTTCCTCCCCAGCTCATCACACAGACCTTCAGCCACCACAACCAGCTGGCACAGAAGGCCCGGAGGGAAAAGAGAGCTCGGCAGGAGACTGAGCGGCGGGAGAAGGCGGAGCGGGCAGCCCGGCTGGCCAAAGAAGTCACGTCTGAAACCCCTGGGCCCCAGATCAAGGAGCTGACAGATGAGGAGGCAGAGAGGCTGCAGTTGGAGATTGATCAGGTGAGGCTGGGCTTTCCTCCTCAGGTCCCCAGTGGCAGTGGCAGTGGGCACCACGTGGCCAACCACTGTGTTCTTTGCCACAGAAAAAGGATGCAGAGAATCATGAGGCCCAGGTCAAGAATGGCAGCCTTGACTCTTCAGGAAAGCAGGTGAGAGACTTGGGGCAAGCTAGGTCCTGAGAACGTGTGGGGGTTCTCCAAGCCTTACCCTTTCTCTGGAATGCCCTCCCACTCTCTCTGCTCCACTAGTTTTGGGGATCTTTCTTATACTTCAGGATTCTACTCAGACTTTGGACTGAAGCATCTAGGTTGAGTAAATAAAAACCCACTGAAGTCTTGGACAGAAATGCCCAGGACCCAGAGCAGGCAGGACCTGTATAGATGCCATCCAGGGTGCTGAGGTCTACGGGCCAGGCTGTGCCCTTGGTCACATGGCGGGAGCCAGAGCTGCTCTTGGGCAAAGATCAGAACCAGACTCACCTCTGGTTCCCAGTGGACCAGGTCTTGGGGTCTGCCCTCCTTAGAGTGGGCAGGGCTGGGTGTGTTCATTATCAGAACTCCTGGGTCTGGCCGTGGGATCAAGTCTTGGTCTGTCAGGAGTACCTGAGCATCTTTCATTGTGAGCAGGAGGCCGAAGAGGACGGGGAGGAGGAAGACGAGAAGGACAAAGGAAAACTGAAGCCCAACCTGGGCAATGGGGCAGACCTCCCTAACTACCGCTGGACCCAGACCCTGTCGGAGCTGGATGTGAGTGGCAGGGGCCAGTGCAGAGGCGGGGAGCCAGCCTGGGGTCCTGGCCGCCCCTGTGGCCCCTCCTTACCGCCCATGCCCCCCCCGTGCAGCTAGCAGTGCCCTTCCGCACGGACTTGCGGCTGAAGGGCAAGGACGTGGTGGTAGATATCCAGCGGCGGCACCTGCGGCTGGGGCTCCGGGGGCAGCCTGCGGTCATTGATGGTGAGCTGCACAGCGAGGTGAAGGTGGAGGAGAGCTCGTGGCTCATTGAGGACGGCAAGATGGTGACTGTTCATCTGGAGAAGGTTTGTGAGGCCCAGCCCTCCAGGACAGGGGCAGAGGGACAGGAACCAGGCTGGGGCCTTGACGAATGGGCACACTAATCCCTAGGCCAAGGTTTTAAAGTAGGCCCAGGAGAGTCAGGCAAAGAACTCTGAGATGTGCCCCTGCCTCTAGGGTCAGGACTGAAATAGAACCTTCTGCTTTCTGCTAGGTTTGCACACACATTCCTTTCAACAGTGTCTGGACACCTGCTCTACCAGGTACTAAGCTCAGGAAAGAGAACAGTGAACAAAACAGAAAATTCTGTGCCCTCAGGTTTCTGTACAGAGCCAAGCATCCACCGAAAGTTCCCATGCACACTGGAGCCTGTCGCAGCCCACCTACCAGCATGGGTGCCACTCACCCACAGTCCATGCCCTTGCCCCTTCCAGATGGCATGTCTTTTCCTGCCTTTTCTTCTTTTTCCCATTTTTTCCCTCGCCAGGGTTTTTTCCATAGAGCCTGCGTGCTCGCCAGAGACAGGGACAGTGAGAAGTAAAGTGAGAAAGCCTGCGAAGAGGGGACGACCATGTCGTAATCCTTTTTCCTTCTGAGATTTTGGACACACACGCACATGTGTCCGGTGTGACTTTCAAGCTGCCACGTCTGGGACTTAGACCGTGGTTGGTCATGTGGGAGTGCAGTGCCTTCACCACCATGCTGCTGGCCTTCCCATTTTTTGGGGGGGTGATGGGGAAAGATTTTTGCTATAATGTGTTGCGCTCATTGGAGAGACAGAGACAGGCGAGAAATCACCCTCCGGGGGGTTGGACATTACCACAATCCCTTCTTCACTCTCTTGAGATTTTGGGCACACACACGTGCCTGGCGGGAGCCCCAGGCCGTCAGCTTCAGGACTCGAACTGCAGTCAACCATGTGGGAGTTCAGTGGCATAGCCATATGCTACCTGCAGGCCCCAGCCTCTTGCCCATTTCTAATCTAGTACACACCTCAGCGCGTATCTCCCTGTGCGCTTGATTCTTTCCCTTATCACACGGATTTGTAACTTTGCCTCTGTCTTTCTGCCAGCCACAGGGAGGGCAGGAGTCTTGCTCATCGGTACCCTGGTCCCAGCATAGGCCTGTGTGGGTTTCAGGTGCAGGATGTGGAGTGGAGAGAGTTTGGTTGTGGAGAGGTCGGGGCACCTCCTGACCCCTGGTTCTCCTGTCCTCACAGATCAATAAGATGGAATGGTGGAGCCGTTTGGTGTCCAGTGACCCCGAGATCAATACCAAGAAGATCAACCCTGAGAACTCCAAGGTGAGCCCTGGCTGGTTGGGGGTGGGCTAGCAGGGAGCTGAGGAGCCTAGGTGGTTCCAGAGCATTACTCGTTCCTGTCACTGCCTGTCCCCAGCTGTCAGACCTGGACAGTGAGACCCGTAGCATGGTGGAAAAAATGATGTATGACCAGAGACTACCAGGTACTAAGCTCAGGAAAGAGAACAGTGAACAAAACAGAAAATTCTGTGCCCTCAGGTTTCTGTACAGAGCCAAGCATCCACCGAAAGTTCCCATGCACACTGGAGCCTGTCGCAGCCCACCTACCAGCATGGGTGCCACTCACCCACAGTCCATGCCCTTGCCCCTTCCAGATGGCATGTCTTTTCCTGCCTTTTCTTCTTTTTCCCATTTTTTCCCTCGCCAGGGTTTTTTCCATAGAGCCTGCGTGCTCGCCAGAGACAGGGACAGTGAGAAGTAAAGTGAGAAAGCCTGCGAAGAGGGGACGACCATGTCGTAATCCTTTTTCCTTCTGAGATTTTGGACACACACGCACATGTGTCCGGTGTGACTTTCAAGCTGCCACGTCTGGGACTTAGACCGTGGTTGGTCATGTGGGAGTGCAGTGCCTTCACCACCATGCTGCTGGCCTTCCCATTTTTTGGGGGGGTGATGGGGAAAGATTTTTGCTATAATGTGTTGCGCTCATTGGAGAGACAGAGACAGGCGAGAAATCACCCTCCGGGGGGTTGGACATTACCACAATCCCTTCTTCACTCTCTTGAGATTTTGGGCACACACACGTGCCTGGCGGGAGCCCCAGGCCGTCAGCTTCAGGACTCGAACTGCAGTCAACCATGTGGGAGTTCAGTGGCATAGCCATATGCTACCTGCAGGCCCCAGCCTCTTGCCCATTTCTAATCTAGTACACACCTCAGCGCGTATCTCCCTGTGCGCTTGATTCTTTCCCTTATCACACGGATTTGTAACTTTGCCTCTGTCTTTCTGCCAGCCACAGGGAGGGCAGGAGTCTTGCTCATCGGTACCCTGGTCCCAGCATAGGCCTGTGTGGGTTTCAGGTGCAGGATGTGGAGTGGAGAGAGTTTGGTTGTGGAGAGGTCGGGGCACCTCCTGACCCCTGGTTCTCCTGTCCTCACAGATCAATAAGATGGAATGGTGGAGCCGTTTGGTGTCCAGTGACCCCGAGATCAATACCAAGAAGATCAACCCTGAGAACTCCAAGGTGAGCCCTGGCTGGTTGGGGGTGGGCTAGCAGGGAGCTGAGGAGCCTAGGTGGTTCCAGAGCATTACTCGTTCCTGTCACTGCCTGTCCCCAGCTGTCAGACCTGGACAGTGAGACCCGTAGCATGGTGGAAAAAATGATGTATGACCAGAGACAGAAGTCCATGGGGCTGCCCACTTCGGATGAGCAGAAGAAACAGGAGATTCTGAAGAAGTAAGCAATTCAGCGATGGGGTGTGGGAGGGCGGGTGCCTGGGCTTAGACCTGGGTGGCAGCAGTGAGTGTGTCCTGCCCCCTGCAGGGTGAGCCAGCCAGGTGGATGGCTTTATGGCCTTGGCCTGCCTACCCTAATCACTTGCTGGGGTCATCTTGAGGGCAAGGCCAGCTCAGGGTAGGAAGGGGTAATAGGTGGTCACTGGCCACCTGCAGAAAACAGTGCCAGTGTTGGCACCTCGACCGGCCTCCCCTCCGGACGCCTGGCTGGGCTCCAAGTTTGCTCAGGGTTCTATGTTGATGGGGAAAGACGATGTGTTTCACGTCCTACTCTCTTCCTACTTCCCCAGGTTCATGGATCAGCACCCGGAGATGGATTTTTCCAAGGCCAAATTCAACTAGCCCCTGTGTTTGCTTCCCTAAACTTTTGGGGCCGAGTCCCCAACCATCCAGCTTCCTTTTCCACCCTTCCTGGGGACTTAGAGGCCCCAGGGCTGGGACAAGCACGTGAGTCCCAGACACTGTGGGAGAAGTGCTGGGCCTGGGGGTCTCATCCTCCCAGTTGGCCAGTTGTTACACATTAAAGCTATGTACCCAGTTCCACCTGTGTCCTCCCCTCCTTGAGGCCTTTTCCCTGGATGACAGGCCTCTTAGGCTGCTGCTGGGAGCTGGGGCAGGGGTTTGGCTTCTAGGCTAGGTTCTGCCGTAAGATGTAGAGCAAGTCCTTGCCCCTCTCTGGGCCTCAGTTTCATTACTTGCTCCCAGGGAGTTGACCATAGTTTGAGTTCTGGATCCAGCAGCTTAAAACTCACGCCAGACACATGTGTGCGTGGCCAAAATCCTGAGAGGAGAATGGAAAAGGGATTGTGCGTTGCCATCCTCCGGGGGGGGAGGTTGGGGATTTCTCACTTGCTGTCTTTCCAGTGAGCGCACATGCCCTATAGCAAAAATCTTTCCTAAAACAAAAAAAAGCTTTTAGTTTGTCTGATCTAAGCAAAGGTATTTTTCTGGAACTGGGAACATATGTCAGATTCTCAAAGAAACCGGTGACCTAGCAAGTTTAAGACTAACTGGACTTTTTCATCTCTAAGACAATTTCCTGCTGCCGGGGGTCTGCTCTTCAGTCCCAAATCAAGTGGTTTCCCCATTGCAGACTCCTGTTTCCTGGGGGTGGAAGAGCTGCAAGGGCTGGGGTGGCACTGTTGAGCTGATGGGGTGTGTGTGTGCAGGAGACCTCCTGGGCTGCAGACCTGTGGGACCTCGCTGTGTCTGACCTCGACTTTGCAGCTCTGAGGGTGGTGGGGCTGGCCCCTGCCCAGGTCTAGCCCACAGAGCCAGGCCTGTCCCACTGAGTATAGGGGCCACAGGTTACACAGAATGTCTAGGTTGACTTACCCCGAGTGCTTTGTTCTGTGGGTGATCCTGGACTTCTGGAACACAGGTGCCCTTTGTAGAGTTAGGGGTTTCAAAAAGGCTACACAGTACCTTGCATGGGCTGTTTCCAAACTTGGTAAACTCCCTTTTCTAGGAGTGCAAATATTAGCTTGCAAAGGCCGAGTTTGGAAAGTGGTGCCCTAGGACCAAGGCTGGGGTGGGGGAGACACGTGCCATTCTGAGCTCCTAGTCATGTGGGCATTTCAGTCTTGTCAAGGCCCTGAACTGACTTGGGAAAGAGCCCAAGGAAAGGGGTCACTTCTGTTGATCCAGCTGGAGCTAGAAGTGTCCCTGTGGCCACGGCCCCAGGGGATGACCCTACGTGTCCAAGAGGAAATTGAGTAAACAATTACAGTTTGTCGCTCCCAAAGGCACTCATGGGGAGTAATCACAAGGGCTGGGGGGCTGCAGGAGTGGTGGTAGGGAGGACTCCTGGACTTCTTACAGCCTATCCTTGGCTGTTGAGGATGGGCAATGGGTCTACCCTAGCCTCTGCTGCAAGAGGACTGAGACCAGCCTGTGTGAGGAGCTGCGAGTAGGAGCCCTCTGGACCTGCTGGGCTCTGGTGTCCACACAAAGGATCTCACTTCAGTCCCACGTATGCCAGCTTTTAGATCCAGAGCCACAACTAGTGGCTGCGTGACCCATTAAGTTCCTTGACCCCTGATTCCCAGGTTCCTCCTTTTGTGAAATATGACCCTATTCCAGGGTTGTTGCAAAAGTTAAGAATTAACAGTGTAGGGAACCAGCAGTTAGCGTAATGGCTATGTCGCTGGACTCCCACGTAGTTGACGGCGGTTTGCGTCCCGGACCTGGTGGCTTAAAAATCATGTCGGGCGCGTGTGCGTGCGTGCCCAAGATCCCGAGAGGAGAATGGAGAAGGGATTGCGGCGTGACCATCCCCCCTGGGGGGTGATTTCTCGCTGTCTCTTATGTGTCTCTGGCGAGCACCCGCGCCCTACAGAGAAGACCTCTCCAAAAAAAAAAAAATTAACAGTGTAAACCATGTGCCCTGTTAGCACTGTGGAGAGGTGGAGGGTAGCTGCAGGCCTGAGGCTGGGCAGGCGCTGCCAGGGGACCAGGGAGTTGAAACGGGTGGCCGGAGGCAGGCAGTGGCCTGGGAGAGCAGAGTGGTAGAGACGCGTCCTTAGAAGAAACAACAGTGGCAAAAACCACCAGTTGAACCTGTCCCTGGTAGACACTGGCTCTTCACCTCAGGAATTCCAGTGAACCTGAGCCGGGCTGCTTTGCTCCCATGTACCCTGACTTTGGCTCCTGTAACACAAAGCCCGGGCCAGGCTGGGCACATGGAAGAGAAGGGGCAGAATCGGCAAGAGGACCAAGCAGAGGTTTGTTACTATAACATGGTCATGTTAACGTGGACATCGGCCAAGAACAACATGGAGTGGGTGCTGCCCAGAGCTCCATATGGAGGCTCTGCTTGCCCCCAACCAGAACACCTCAGACCAGCTGCTTTCAGCTATCTGATCCTCCAGGGGGTTCATGAGGGTCAGGGTGACATGCCAGGGGATGGTGTTGGGACCAATCTCAGAAGGTAATTGCTAAGTCTTTGCCTTCCATGACCAGGCTGCCTGAAGACCAAGGACAGGAAGGGACAGGCCAAGGGGGAGGGGATCAGGCCTCTGGGGATGCAGCAGGGTGGACACTGGCCCAGTGGAATGCACATGGCCCAGGAGCCATCAGCCAGGGCAGGAGGAGCCAGAGTGGGCACTGCTGCTGGGCTTGGGGCCACCTTCCCCCACGGTCCCTGGTCCCTGGTCCCCCTCTTCATTCTGTAGGCTGTGCTTCTCCCAGAAGGGGTGGCCTGGCAGGGGTTAGCAGTACACCTGGAGCAGGGGTGCCCCTGACGAGTCTGTGTCGGTGCCCTGGAAGGACGAGTCGTGGCTGCCTGGGTACCCTGGGGGAAGGAGAGGAGGAAACGGAGGCTCAAAGAGGAGAAGGAGCTCATCCAAGTCCCACAGCCAGGGAGCCCGGGGAGCAGGGCGGGGCGTCCATCCTGGCTGGGTGACCCGCTCAGTCTCGAGGCCTCTCTGAGCCCCTGCCTCCCTCTGTAAAAGGGCCATGACCTGTTCCCAGGGTCTTGTGAAGGTCAAGAAGAGAAGTCACACAGGGGCCTCTTGTGCTCCACTTTCCTCCTCAGTGACCTGGGTTTGGAGGTGGGGTCCTTCTCTAACCTCCAGCCAACTTGTAGGATTGGGGTGGTCTGTGACTGCTCAGGCTCCCGTCCCTTTCTGAGGTCATGCTCACCAGCCCCAGGAGGAGGTGAGGAACACAGAAGGCACCCTGGGTAGCTCCCCACCCTCTGAACTCCTTGCCAGGTTAGGACCACACCTGGGGCTCCATAAGGCCTTAGCTTCCGGGCGATAGCATCTGCTGTCGTCTCCTGGGAGATCTGGACCGTCAGTTCTAGGGAGTGAAATGAGGGGAGGGTGTCATTATTACATCATTTCAATGTCACCCCCCCCTGCTGTTCCCAGCTGCACAGGGTTGGAGGTCTGCTCACCCTGGGCGGGGCTTGAAAAACAGTTCAATATAAAACAGATGTGTGTGCACATGCATACAGGTGGGTTAGGCCAGGACAGGTCAGAGGTCAAATCCACCTGGGTGCCCAGATCCTGTCTACCAGGCTCAGCCAGGAGGGCTACTCTGGCAGGTGGTGACAGTGGGGAGAGGAGCCTACTAGCTGAGCTTGGTGAGTGGAGAGGAGGCTTCGTCCTTTCAGCGGACAGCAGCAATGGCCAGAGAGCTCCAAAGGTACGCTTGCTCCTGTCAGTCTTTCTCAGACCTCCCTGGGGTAGGCCAGGGTGGGAGCCGTGGAGAGGGGACCGAGGAATTGAGAGAGGAGGCGAGAATCAGGACTGTGTGTGTGGGGGGGAGACCACAGGGGCCAAAGACCAGACCCAATTCTACCCTGGCCAAAGCCTTCCTTGTGCTGCCCCTCCACCTCCAGGGCCCCACCTACCATCCTGGCTGAGACCAGAGCCCACCATGGTCTCGTGCCCACTGTCAGGGGCAGCCGCAGTGGGGGCAGCAGCCCGAGACGAGCGTCCCTCCGCGGTCTGCGGCCGAGCCCGGCTCTTGCGGGTACTGATGCGGATGATGCCGCGCACCAGGCGGCCCTCCGCGTCCTGCTCATCCAGGTGGTAGTCCTGCGTGATGCTGCTGATCAGGTCTGAGATCTTGCTGGTCTTCTCCAGGAACACCGTGTCGGACGTGCACTTGGCCAGCTCGTCGATCTGGTGCACGCTGAACAGCTCCGTCAGCTTCTTGAAGATGAGCACGTCGATCTCGCGGCTCGACATGGAGCCTCCGCCCATCTCGGGCAGGTCCAGGTCCGACTCGTGGAAGGAGTAGTACTCCTCGGAGTCTCGGGGACTGCTGGTGAAGGTGGGCAGGGTGTGGCGCCGGGGGGCGGGAAAAAAAAAGCAGGAATCAGAGTCCGGGGCCGGGCAGGTGGAGTTGCGGTAGTAGACAGGGATGCCTTTGAGCTTGACGTCCGGGTAGCTGAAGCTGCTGCCCACGGTTGACTTGAGCCGCGGGCCGTCCCGCCTGCTGGGAGGTGCGCGGTCAGGGCTGGGGGGCATTCCGTTGTGCTCCTTGGCCCAGGTGGCTTCAGCAGTCCCCTCAGTGGAGTCCGCAGCAGACAAGCAGGGGCTGCAGCCCCGCACACAGGTGCCGCAGCGCTGGAGGCAACCCCGGCAGCGGCGGAAGCAGAAGGCCGCCCGGCACCAGTCCCACACCCAGGGACGCCAGAGCAGGCAGCAGGCAGGGGGCTCAGCTGCTGGCTCTGCGGAGCCAGAGATAAAGGTAATGCTCTCTGGCCCCTGGCAGCCGGGGTCCTTGGGGTCTGGCCTCCGGGTGCGGCGGCTCGCTGGGGGCTGAGGTGGCTCATGGTGCGCCTCCAGACAGAGCTCGGTCTGTCTTTCCCAGGGGCCCAGGCGCGGCGGCCCGGGTGATGGGCGGGGGGGTCCAGGGCGGGGCATGGCTCATCGCATGGTCTGCTGCAGCCGGGCACCTGCGGGAAAGGCCAGGAGGGTTGGGGGTCAGGCATCAGGGACCAGGGCCTACACTGACCCAGGAGCTGCAGACTTCCGGTTTTTCTTTTAGTCTTTCTTTCTTTTTGAAGAGGTTTTTGCTATAGGGCGCGTACGCTCGCAGACAGAGAGAGAGACAGAAGTGAGAAATCACCTCCCAGGGGGGATGGCCATGCCGCAATCCCTTCTCCTCCATTCTCCTCTCGGGATCTTGGGCACGCACGCACGTGCGCCTGGCATGAGTTTAAGCCACCGGGTCCGCGACTACATGGGAGTACAGCGACATAGCGATTACGCTAACTGCTGGTCCCCAGACTTCTGGTTTTTGAGGATCCCTCCATGTGGCCGTGGGATGGGCCCAAGAGTGCCCAGAGACCTCATCTGTTATGCCTCTCCCTCTCCAGAGAGCAAGTTTCTGCGATCTGACCCAGATTTCAAAATCTCCTGAAACTTCACCCATTGGGATGGCTAGTATTTAAAAAAAGGAAAAAAGAAAAGGAAAAGGAAAAATTGTAAGTGTGGTGAGGATGTGGAGAAACTGGAACGCTTGAGCTTCACTGGGGGGTGTAAAGTGGTGCAAATGCTGTGGGAAACAGTACAGTGGTTCTTTAAAAAACAAAACAGAACAGACAAGAGTGGGGCCAGCAGGCGGTGGTTAAGGTGCTGGACTCCCACATTGCTGACCGTGGTTTGAGTCCCAGACCCAGTGGCTTGAAACTCAGACCAGGCACGTGTACATCCCAAACCCCAAGGACAGAATGAAAAAGAAGGGATTGTGGCAGGACCATCACTCCTTGGGTGTGATTTCTCATTTTCCCTCTCTCTGTCTCTCTTTGGTGAGTGCATGTGTCCTATGGTAAAAAATACCTAAAAAAAAAAAAAATCAGACAATACCACATGGTCCAGCAATTCCACGTCTGGGTAAATACCTAAAAGAAGTGAGAGTGGAGACTCGGGCTGCACAGGGCATGCCAGTAAACTGGGATGCTCTGAGAGGCTGACACACACAGAGGGATCCAGGCTTGCGTCTGGAGAACCGCCGAGAACGCTGGGCATAAGTGAGCCTCTGACCCGCAGCTGGCTGACACTGGGCGTGGACTGTGGCCTCGAGACCTTGTTGGGAGTGCCACTCCCCCCGATTATGGAAGAAATAAATAAACTTGAAAAAGGAGGCAAAACCTTGAATGGACACTTATACATCAATGTTCACAGCAGCATTGTTCACAGTAGCCAAAATAAGAAACAGCTCAAATGTCCGTCAGTGGATGAATAACTAAATAAAACATGTAAACAAAGTCTGATACGTGCCTTTGATTTGAGGTTCAGCACAGATGAACCTCGAAGACATTATGCTAAAGGAAGTAAGCCAGACACAAGAGAGCCAATAGTGTATGGTCGCACTTACATGAAATACCTAGAACAGCTGATTTCATGAAGACAGAAAGCAGAATGGTGGTTGCAGGGGCTGGAGGCAGGATTCACGGGGAGCTAGTTGAATTAGTAGGACTTTCAGCTGGGAAGGATGAAAAATGTCTTCGAACTTTATTTAATGTATTTATTTAGTATATTTAATGCCACAGGACTGTGTGCTTAAATGAACATGGTTAAAAAAAGGCTAAAGGGGTGGATGGCAGGTAGTGTGGTGGTTAAAGGCGCTGGACTCCCACATGGCTGACTGTGGTTTGAGTCCTGGACCTGGCAGTTTGCTTTCTCTCTCTGTCCCTTTCTGGTCAAATGAAAATAAATAAAGTTAAATAAAATAATTCTTTTTTGTTTTTGAGAGGTTTTCGCTATAGGGCACGTGCGCTCACCAGACAGACAGAGAGAGACAGAGAGACAGAAAGCGAGAAATCACCCCCCAGGGGGATGGTCACGCCGCAATCCCTTCTCCTCCATTCTCCT